AGGTCCTCAATCTTCACTGTGTAGATGTCCACCTCCTAATGAACCAAGAGAATCAGTAGGGTTGAAAAAAAATAAGCAAGCAGGGGTTATATAAAAACCAAACACTTCATATAATTTGAGTATATGATTATGAGTAATTGACAATTTTGAGTAAACTAACCTTAATGAGGCAGGCAGTACTAACGAGCTGTTTGGGGTCAACAACATCCACTAGTGGCTCCTTAATGGCCACTTCCTTGATACAGGACATATCAAAGCCATAAACGTTCTCCCACCCTGAAAATGCAAACAAAACAAAATAAATGAAATGGTGTCTTATTTCAGACAGCTGAAAAGGCCTCAAATCCATTCAGAGATTGACATACAGTGAATTTTGTAGTCCTTGTACTGTCGGTCCTCAATAGCAGTGACATAGAGCGTGGCTCTGTCAGGGAAAATCAGGCCATCAGGTTTCTAAAAAAGAAAAACAAATAAGCAACATGAACATTAATCAGATTATGGTCAGCATGCACAATTTTTATAGTGAACAGCTCCAACACTCCAAGAGGACATTAGCATACACCCACCAGCCATTTGTCTCTTGCATAAATGACAGTGTTAAGCATGGATTCGTAGAAGAGACAGTAGCCCATCCACTCAGAGATGATTATGTCTACATTTTCCACAGGAAGCTCAACCTCTTCCACTTTGCCTTTAATGATGGTAACGACTGGACAGGGAAAATTAGGTTAAGGACTTAAGGTACATAGCTCACGATACAGTAAGTTTAGCTCAAAAGATCGTCACAAATGTGCTGTGCATATGAGGTCTGTGAAAAATAAGGAAGTCAAGAGCTATGAGAAGTTCTTACTATGATCCAACTTGTTGGCCTTCACAATCTTCACAGCATAGTCTGATATACTGCTGCACTCAATCTGGGGGAACAAATTACAAAGAAATGTCAAATCTGAGAAAAGCACAGCATGATCACCTACCCATCACCTTGACAGGACGGGCAAGAGCCTCATTCAACTAAACCAGTCAGTATCCACAACAAAAACTCGGCTGTTGAAAACAATGAGGTGACATTTACATAAACGGGTAGGATTTACACTCACCCCAATAACTTTCTTGGCTCCAGCTTTGGCTGCAAACATACAAAGGATGCCAGTTCCACTTCCC